GGGCAGTGCTGCACAGTGTGACTGACATTCAGTGTCTCCGCCTTCTGCATGCAGTCACTGAACTGAAGATGCTGATTGGTCAGGGCTGTGTTTGGCTTCTGCTGGCTCTGCCTCCTTGACAAGCTCAGCCAATCCTATGGGGAAGCACTGTGATTGGCTCAGACCACCACTTCTGATGATGTCTGCCAAGCAGGCAGATCAGGGACAGAGACAGCAGCTGCAGACTTGAATACAAGTAAGATTTTACTATATTTAAGCGGGTAGGGGCGGGGGGAGGCTAGATGGTGGTTTTAATACTATAAGGTCAGGAATACATGTTTGTGTTAGATTTGACATTTTTGTGTTCCTGACACTATATTTCTCCTTTAAATGTGAAATTCAAACTGTAAATATGATCCAAGTTGGCTTCTAGATCGACTAATTTGGCCTTAAAATGTAACCCCCTCTCCCCCACTTTATATCCTACCCACTTGTATATTATAAAAAGAGACCTCACCTGACAGCTATGTGAGCTGACATTAAGTCTCCCACTTGACGCCAATGGGTGGGGATTGGGGTTGACACTAGATCTCACCTTGTTTATAAAGTAGCCCCGATCCGCTGACCATGGGTGCGAGCAGGAGCGGGACACACACATCATAATGTTTTGTATTTAACCGCCTGCACCAAGGTGTTTGATGTTAGTAAATATGAGAATTGTCAATGCAGTCGAAATTTGTCCATTCTCACCAGATTTTAAAGATTCATGCAGGCACCCACATTCTCACAAAATATTAACATACCGCTATTTACCTGCTCCTTCTCTAACCATATCTGGCTTTATCCAAATCACACTGGGCCTCTATAACAGCTTTCTTAAAAAGCTGGGAGGAAATGATATGATGTAATAGAATGTAATATGATGTAATATATGATATTATCTAATATGATATGTGATATATGGTATGATGTAATACAATGTCATATGGTGTGATGTAATAGGATGGGGTATGATGTAATATGATGTGATATCACTACCTTCCAGTGCTGTTGAGACGTAGTGAGGGGGAAGAGACTAACAGCGGGACTATTTTGGGCTGGAATTCCGTTCCAGACAAATTGCTAAGCTGGCTCTGCTGGTATGTGGGCATCAAAAACAGTCGGACACTGGCACGGCGCCCCAACACACTGGTACCTGGTTGCGTCTGCCCCTGTTGGTGCCAATCAGAGCGAATCATGCAAAGTGCACTGCCGAAGCACTCTCGACATGTTCCATGGCATTCCCCCCCCGTCCGGAAAGAGAGAATAAAATTGAGATATCCCCAAATCAGGGCTGTCTTGATAATATTGCCCCAAATCAGGGATGTCTTGCTAATATTACCCCAATTCAGGGCTGTCTCACTATTATTGGAACAGTTGGTTGTGTGGGAGCCGGAATCATGACTGGCCTGGTGTGCCCCCTCGGTAAGTAGTCAAATAAATTGGAAATAGTTTGATAACTTACCTGGCGTCCACCTCCCTGGCTGCTGCAAACTTGTGCCCAGAACTAGGCATGGCGCATGGCTCATGGCTGCGACAGGAAATCTGGGACCCCAGGTAAGTGGTCAAAACAGTAACAAAAGGTAGGGGCGGAATGACATAGGACACAGGTGGTAGGAGCGTCCGAGGTTTTGTACAGCTCAATAACCCAGGAATATTTTCAAGAATGTATGACCACGCAACTTAGTTTGTTTAAAGAGGACTGAAATAAACTGTTCTCATCTATGAAGGACAAAATTTCTGTACTAGGTGAAAGAATGAAAATAAACGAGCAAAAGAATGATGCAATAATGTTCGAATTAAAAAAAGTCCAAGATGAATACGTTTCATTATTTCAAGGATCACTATAGGGTCAGGAACTCAAATATGGATTCCTGACCCTATAGTGCTAAACTCACTTAGGTGGCTTACCCTCCCCCCGCCCCCCACAGCCCCCTCAGAATGGGTTAAAACTCATGTTATTCCCAGCGCCATGCGGGTCTGGCAGTGCTGGCCCTGCCACCTTTGGTGACATCATCAGAATTGCCGATTTTTACCAATCAAATGGGGGAAGCTTTGGATTGACTAAAATGAGCAAGGGGTGGGGCCAAACACCGTTTTGGACAATCAGCACCTCTTCATAGAGTTGCATTGAATCAATGCTTCTCTATGAGGAAAATTCAGCCTCTCCATGCAGAGCGTGGAGATGCTGAACGGTAGTGCTGCCTATTGTGCAGCACTGCCCCAGGAAGCACCTCCAGTGTCTATCTAAGGACTGTCCCTTTAAAGAAAAAGGTTTTAGAATTGGAAGAAAAATGGACTGATATGGAGGATAGAATGCGAAGGAAGAATTTAAGGATTCAAGGCGTGAATGTAAATATAGAAATAATAGAATTTCTACTAGATATCTTTAGAGATATGGGTGTTCAAGAAGCAGGAAAGGGAGATAATTAAACGGGCACATAGAACATTAAAGCCTTAGGGCATTTCAGAGGTTGCATCCGGTTCTCATCGTAATATATGTGTCAGAAGATTTTTAATTCCTCAGGAAATTACAAACCAAAGAAGAAAAATGTAAAAATTAAGCCTTCTATCGAGATTTATCTAATAATACAAGATGAAAAGATTCACCTGTTAAAGGGACACTCCAGGCACTCACACCACCTCTGCCCATTGGAGTGGTCTGGGTGGCAACCAGGGCCGGGCTGGCCCTCCGGGATACCGGGGAATTTCCAGGTGGGCCGCAGTAACCTGGGGCAGGACAGACAGCACAAATCATTACGTAAATTTTTTTTTAAGTATTTTCCCTTCGGACTGTGACAGCCTGTGTCGGTCTCCCTGAACTATTTACCTTCATTTCGGCCACATGCCCCGCCTCCGCATGAAAGCCACGCCTCCTTAATGCAAGCTCCGCCTCCCACGCACAGTGCTGACCTCGCTGCAAAGAAGGGACACAAAATGGCAACTTCACCTGCCAGTGCCAGGTAAACATCAGCCATGGCGCTGTGTGTCTGCTAGTGAGAGAGAGAGTGTGAGTGTGTGTCTGCTAGTGAGAGAGAGAGTGAGAGAGAGTGTGATTGTGTCTTCTAGTGAGAGAGAGAGTGTGAGTGTGTCTGCTAGTGAGAGAGAGTGTGTGAGTGTATCTGCTAGTGAGAGTGTGTGTCGGCTAGTGAGAGAGAGAGTGTGTCTGCTAATGAGAGAGTGAGTGTGTATCTGCTAGTGAGAGAGAGTGTGAGTGTCTGCTAGTGAGAGTGTGTGTCTGCTAGTGAGAGAG